ATTCTTAAACAATATTCAAAGGTAAAACTAATGAAAAATACATAAAAATATTGAGAAAGTTATATAAAACATTATTTAAATATCTTTATCAATAGGGTAGGTTAGATTAGGTTATCGGGTTTTGTTTAAGTGACTATCCTCTTTCGATCCCCCACCTCCACCCGCTCGAAAATAATTATTTTATTGAATTTTATTTGAATTACAGCGTATGAATATATCAAAAACTAAAAATGTTTTATTTCAAGAAAAGAAGACATATTAGAGTTGCTTTAAACAATTTAACTTATAAATCCAGTGGAAGTAGGTTATAATTTTTCCTTTAGACTTGCTTATTCGGTCTTGGTTTTTGTCTCGCTAGCTTGGTCTTTTCGCAATACTAGGACCAATTTCGCTCATCACTAGATTATAGAATTTATGAATATTACGAAACAAGTAATTTTGTTTTATTCATTCAATTTTGGTAATTTATGTAAAAATTGAGTCCAGAAAAAATCAGCATTTCTTTGAAAATATATTCGATAATATAATACCTTAATTGCTCTTTATCATTTTGTTTGTAAAATGTTCCATAATCGGAGTATTAATATCAAGGACAATTTGCGTCCGTATTGACGACTTTTACTTTTATTTTGCATAATTTTTTTAATTATTATGATTACGTGCTCTGTCTGATCGAACAGTTGTTCATTTGCGTACATAATAGTACGTAAGTATACAACCCGTTCTGTGGTAAATAAACAACTTTTACATGTGTTACTATTATTACGTTCATGTAATGGTGTAAAAGCGTAATTGACTTTCTACCATTGTTTTGCGATTGCTGCCGTTCAATTACTTCTTTTATTGTTTTTTGTTGTATAGGTGTATACTCCAGCTTACTTTTACGTGAATATTCTTATTTTGGAAATCGGATGATCTGCTAGCTTGATATTTTGTTAGAAGATCACATATTCGTTTCAGTTGATCTATGATTTAGGTAATGACATAATCGGACGATCCGCTAAAACGTCTATCCAATCTGCTAACATGATGTCAAGCTAGCGGATGGTTTTTTGGAAATCGAATGATCTTATAGCTAGCATTATATAAAGCTTTACTACAAACTCACCACATTAGCCTAACTAATTGGAATCACATTTTGAAGTTAATTTATGTAACTCTATTTCTTCTTGAACTGAAATAATATATATAAAATATAATCATTGTTTCGAACTCGCAGATTTCATGAGTTTGAAATTGATAAACGGCTGCATTTGTCTAATCCATATTTGCATTTTGTGGTTTTACTAACTTTCATCGACGAAGCATCTTGACCCTTAATAGTTTACGTATTCTACATGCTGCCTTACATCATTAGGTATTATCAGTCCAAAGACTGGTTGAAATTGCACCTCCACTAATTCCTACCTTGAACTAGAATGTTCGCATTTTCCGAAAATTTGAAATTAGACGTAATCTTTTTCTGCGAAAGATTTGGTGAAATCGCACCTCCACTTATTTCTATCTTGAGCTAGTGTTCGTATTTTGCGAAAATTTGGATCTAGTTTAAATCTAATCCATATCTTTTTCTGCCATAAACTTGGTGAATTCGCACCTCCACTCATTCCTTTCTTGAGCTAGAGTGTTCGTATTTTGCGAAAATTTGGATCTAGTTTAAATCTAATCTATATCTTTTTCTGCCAAAGACTTGGTGAATTCGCACCTTCACTCATTCCTACCTTGGGCTAGAATCTTTCCATATTTCTAAAATATGAATTTAGATGTAAGTTAGATCATTTTCTGCCAAAGTCTTATTGTAATCGCACCTCCACTCATTCATATCATGAGATAGAATCTTCACATTTTTCGAAAATATTAATCTAGATCTTGTCTGCCAAAGACTAGGTGAAATCACACCTCCACTCATTCCTATCTTGAGCTAGTGTTCGCATTTTCTGATTATTAGAATCTAGATCTAATCTAAATCTTATCTATATCATTTTCTGTCAAAGACTGGTTGAAATTGTGTCTTCTCTCATTCCTATCGTGAGCTAGAATCTTTTCATATTCGGAAAATACGAATTTAGATCTAATCTAAATCATTTTTTGCCAAAGACTGGTTGAAACTGTACCTACACTCATTCCTATCATGAGCTAAATCTTCGCATTTTCCGAAAATTAGAATATAGATGTAATTCAAATTAAGCTTAGGATTTTTTTTGCTTCTGATTAGTCCTGTCTCTGCTGTTAGTGTAACTAATCCTTAATGTGTTACAATCACCAGAAGGTGTCTTACCATTCTATCTCTCTATTTGTCATTGACTTTCATAGTGTCCTGATTTCCAACTTCAACTCCATCACCACATCTCCAACGATTCTAACTTCTTCTTTTCCGCCTTGCCCACTGTCCAGGCTTTACGCTCGCCCAGAGGCGTACTCCAAACATACGTTTTTAACAATCCTTTTCGAATTTCCGAATTAATCCGTTCGCAAGCACGGAAGTGATTTCTTTTTGTTGAAAGCGCTGTTGTTTGTCTCATATCTTTACATCCTGAAAGAATTAAATTTGTGCAGAGAGAACAAAGAGTAATTTGCAGGTAATGAAGGAAATCGGTTTGTACTTGTTTGGAAATTTGCGTGTTGAAATTAATTAAAAGCAAGAGACCTAAGGCAACACGGTAACGCCCAGTTATTTACCAGACGAAAATAAGGGTGATCAGTTCTTGTAAAGAATAAGGTGTAATAGCTGTCTTGTAGTGCACGTGGGTGAATTCTCGATGAGATTACAACTTT